TTGAAATGGCTTTGGATCACTTTCATAGGTTCTCTCATTGCTCTATGTCAGCTCAAGATTTAATGGAGAGTGTTCGAATATTTACTACAAAGAATTTTCCTGCAGAAGGGGTGTTTGTAGTGATATGCTCATCAGCATCATCATCCGAATTGACTTCAGCTTCCATTAGCTTCTATTCTTCTTTCTCCGAGAAGTATTCTCCATCTTGCATAACTAGTGCCTTTGTGTTGGGGCACTAATTTGCCTAGTGGCCTCGTTCTAGTCATTTGAAACGTTGAATGGTGTTCGATGACCCTCTTTGAATTACGGGAACAGTGTTCCTTGGTGTTGGCTTAGCTTCCTTCGACCTAGTAAGTTGGTGATTGGTCTCAGGGACAGTCTCTAGAGCAGACTTTGTTGAAGGCACATACCTTCTTCAAAAGCTGAATTTCTGTTGCCTCTCCACCTTGATTACAAGGAGTCTCACCTCCAAGGGATGGCAATGGATCAGGTTGGGTGTAGATAGTGCATATCCGTTACCCTACTCAAAGTAATTCGGGTTTTACCCATGCCCATACCCACATAAAAAATGGGTAGAAAATCAAAACCATGCCCATACTCGTTCGGGTTTTGGGTATGCACGGTTATCCATGGGTAATAATTTTTCTTCATAACTCCAACCAATATGTTAACATTCCCGCGTATTCTCACATTACGTAAGAGGAAAAATACACCAATAATTCACTAGAATGAAGAATATTAATTAAAACAATACAATTTCATGAAAATACTATATTTATATGCTAAATATTAAATATGTTAGAGAAAAATAATGATTATTTCTAGACAAAATATATGAATGTGTATAATCGGACGGGTTCGGGTTAGAAAGTGAGAAACCCATGTCCACCCATTACCCGCAATATTTGGGTTCGAGTTAACCCAGTCCCACGTCTCAATTGGAGGCTACAAATTCCTCCTCCAACGAAGTTGTGTTTATTCCCACCACGTTGCAGCATAATCTGTAAATTCATACGTAGCAAGTAAGCCTTATGTTGGTCGTTGTAATTGCCGCATTGGAATAATATGGTTATCTTCCTTTCCCAATCCAGGTACATAGCAGCATTGTTGGTTCCTTGGAACAATGAGATTGATAGCTTAAACCCTCATAAATCTGCAGCTGTGTCGTACCTTGTTTCGGTGGTCGTCCACCATGATCACAAAATTCTTGATGTTGATGCACTCGGTTGTGCTCGATGGTGATCAATCTCCGCTCCAGGTTCTGAATTCTCTCATCGAGGTCTTGATTGGTTCTATTTGGAATGCCATGATCTCGATTTCCCTCCGAAATCAATTACGCTATGTAGAATTATATTCTCTGGAGGTTTCACTCTGTCACCGTCGAATTCAACTCGGCCAATTGACGATTGATCTGATCAAGTTGGACCTGGAAAGTTGCATTTAATTGAGCCATGATCCTCTGCAATAAGTTAGTCATATTAATTTGCGGATCCCCCATCATTTACTCCTCAAATTGGGTTTCCTCTTCGGACAAGGAATCCTCCTCTGTTCCTCGGTTTGCAATAGGATCCTTGCATCTCGCACGAGAAGAAACATATCCTCTCAACTTTGTTCTCGCCACTGCGTCGAACCACGCTCCTGATGCCAGTTGCGATTATTTCAATCTCGAGATCTTTGGACTCAAACCCAACAAGATTGATTAACACAAGATCGATCTTCAACTCGGATCAATAACAAACCAAAACAGAGTTTTGGCTTTGAAATACGATGGGATGGAAAGTGCAATTCCACACCTATGGAAAGGCTCGATCCATATGGGTAGCAGCTCGACCACAATCGAGAGGAAAACTCAATTGATACAGAGACCACTCGTTGGTTGGATTCCACCAACAACAAGCACAAAATTCACGAGTATAACTCAAGAACTAGGTTTAAACTTAAATCGATTAAAAGATGCTCCTTACAACTCGACTTTAAGCCTTTAAATAGAGACTAACGACACTAACCTGTATTACGAGACTAATAAGGAAAACTAAACTAACTAGAACAATGAAATAAGGAAGAAAATCCAACTGGAAAAGGAAAAGAACTTGTGCTCAAACTAGCTCATGTGCAAGTAACCAAACAGTCTTCATACCAACTTCAAGCCTCTCATTCAAAGTCTTCCAAGCTGATTGGACCTCAACAAATTTCTTCACGATCTTCGGCAAGACTTGGACTTTCACCTCCAACTGCTAACTTCACTCCAATGTCTCTCAAACTGAACGAGGAAGCCTCCAAAGTAGGTGCCTCGATCCGATTCCCATACTTAGCCATTTTCTGCCCTTCTTGTTTCCACGAGTTGCCTTGCTCTCTAAGCTTCAATTGAAATGGCTTTTGATCACTTTCATAAGTTCTCTCCTTCGGGTTCAGATTTTACCCTACCCGATTAGGTCGAATTAGAGCGGATATCCACGGTTACAGATATTTTTGCCATCCCTACCACCTCCTCAAGCTCCACGAATGGACAAAGTTCAACTTCGTTCTTAATTTCGCGATTGAAGTCATAAAAGAAATCGAGAAACAGTACCTGGCACAAAGCGTTCTCTGATAAGTCCTCTCAGTTCGTCCCACGTCTCAATTGGAGGCTACAAATTCCTCCTCCAACGAAGTTGTATTTGTTCCCACCACGTTGCAGCATAATCTGTAAATTCATACGTAGCAAGTAAGCCTTATGTTGGTCATTATAATTGCCACATTGGAAGAACATGATTATCTTCCTTTCCCAATCCAGGTACATAGCAGCATTGTTGGTTCCTTGGACCAATGAGATTGATAGATTAAACCCTCATAAATCTGCAACTGTGTCGTACCCTGTTTCGGTGGTCGTCCACCATGATCACAAAATTCTTGATGTTGATGCACTCGGTTGTGCTCGATGGTGATCAATCGCCGCTCCAGGTTCTGAATTCTCTCATCGAGGTCTTGATTGGTTCCATTTGGAATGCCATGATCTCGATTTCCCTCCGAAATCAATTACGCTATGCAGAATTATATTCTCTAGAGGTTTAACTCTGTCACCGTCGAATTCAACTCGGCCAATTGACGATTGATCTGATCAAGTTGGACCTGGAAAGTTGCATTTAACTGAGCCATGATCGTCTGCAATAAGTTAGTCATATTAATTTGCGGATCCCCCATCCTTTCCTCCTCAAATTAGGTTTCCTCTTCGGACAAGGAATCCTCCTCTGTTCCTCGGTTTGCAATAGGATCCTTGCACCTCGCACGAGAAGAAAGATATCCTCTTAACTTTGTTCTCGCCACTCTGTTGAACCACGCTCCGGATGCCAGTTGCGATTATCTCAATCTCGAGATCTTTGGACTCAAACCCAACAAGATTGATTAACACAAGAGCGATCTTCAACTCAGATCAAGAACTCATCAAAAATAGAGTTTTGGCATTGAGATACGATGGGATTGAAAGTGCGATTCCTGTCACACCCGCATCCTGATCACGATTTTGTATAACACGGAAAAGAAATTATATGTATGATGTATTTATACCATTAATTTGTATATACCTCGATAGTGTAATAATCATACATTAATTTTTTGTTTTGTTTACAGAGCCAAATTAAGCTTCCCAACTTCATTTGCTCATACCTAACTATTTAATAATTAAACATTTTTTCTCCAAATATATATTTCCAACTCATCGTTGTCTTAAAGTTGGAAAAGGGACAAGAGAGAGACATACCAATTCATTGTATATCCCACTAATCTCATGATGATGAAGTCAAGGCCCCTTTCCAGAGCCTTTCTGTTCTTCTATTTACCTAGGGGATCAAAAAGAGGAGGACAATTGAATGAATGCCGACTCTATCAAACTCTCAGCATGCACCCACACACGTGACAAAGCTTACTTCTCTCTCGGCATAAAACACAACACGTAGACCAAGCTTGTCTCCAAAGTAGCGGTTATGGGAAGAGAGAGGAGGGATAGAAGCATTTTTCAGTCCTTGGGGATGGAGAGGCATAAGAGGGCATCCATTTCCTTAACCTTCTCTTCGTAATGACAAGGAAAGATGTACTCTCTTGCCACCGAGTACCCAACAAATTGGCTTCCCACCTCACTCGTATTTCCCCGTGGCTAGAAGATAAATTGATGGTCTGTGAAATTAGCAAAGAAGTTACCAATTAAATCAGGTATCATGGCCATTTTCCTTCTCTGGATTTTAAAAGTTAAGTGAGGTTGTTTTGGACGTGCAGGTATATTTGTGCGTATGTATTTGAGTGTATAAACTAAGAGAGAATAAGTAGTTCTGTTGGGTACCCAACTAGGGAAAGGATTAATATATGTATATTAGTAGGGGCTGAGCCAGGATTTGACCGTCGGAGGAGTCGATGTTTAAAAAGTGTATTATGTAGAAGAAATATATCATAAAATATAATTAATATATGTTTTTATTGGTAATTTATTTGTAATATTTGAGATAAAGAAATCGCTGAAACAAGAATCTAAACCAAAATTTCTAAATGAAGTATTCAAAACAAATGAACAAACTACAACCAACAAATTAATCATACACTAAACATGTTTCTCAGTATTTCTATAACCGTAAAATGAACACTACTATTATTTGAAAAAATTAAGTAATCAACTATATAGCCAAAACTATTATTAGAAATATAAGTTTACAATTTGAAGGACATAATTAAGCTACTTTAAAATTACAAGACTTATAAAACAACTTATGAACACAAATTATGAAAGTTAAATATGCTTTGTGGTAAAACTAAATTAACAAGGTTAAAAAATGGTCTTTGGTCAGGCTCAATTAAGAAGGTTAGAAAATAATTAAATATGGTCTTTGATCACACTCACTTAAGAAGGTAAAAAATTCATTAACTATTTGCTACCACAAGACTTCGAACCAAGACCACACAAATCAAACAACAATATATGTTCCGCTGAACTACAAGCAAATCTTATTCTTCAATATTGCAAACAATTTTTATTTACCCTAATCTTTATTTTATACGTAATTTTTCAAACCTCGATAGAATTTTATACGTGATTTCTAAATTCTCGGAGGGCCCAGACCACCCCGAAGCTCCAACTAGATCCGCCCCTGTATATTATTATTTGAGAAATCTAGCAAACGCACAAACTGAAAACACAAGAACACGAGATTTACGTGGTATCCCCGTCAAGTATATGATGGCCGAAGGCCATTACATATGTTTATATAACCCTTGCAACAATCATCTAGGGTTACAATACCTGGCTTCGTATCAATAACATGGGCATGATGGACATGGGCTGACGAGGACTCATTCTTGGGCAGAGATGGCCGAGTCTGGTCCAATACTCCCCGCAAGCTGAAGCGTGGAGATGACGAACGTTCAACTTGGAGAGTAAGAAATGAAACCGCTAGACACCTAAGCCCTTGCTGAACAAATTGGCCAACTGACGATGGGTGCTAACTTTCAGAGGAGCGATGTGACCAGACTGAACCCGCTCTCAAACAAAGTAGCAATCCATCTTGACGTGCTTGGTGCGCTCATGGAAGATAGGATTAGCTGCGATATGAAGGGCATCTTGATTGTCACAATAGAGTGGAGTCGCAACAGACCGAGGAGCGCCAAGCTCATTAAGGAGCCACTGCAGCCACACAATCTCACTAACTGTGCTAGCCATCGCTCTATATTCGGCCTCCACAGATGAAGGAGCAACAACACGTTGCTTCTTAGTGCTCCACGAGGCAGGCACACCCCCAATAGTGATAAAGTAACTTGTAGTGGACCGACGGGAGCTCTCACAGCCACCCCAATTGGCATCACAGTAGGCAACAAGGTCGAAGAATGCGAATGGCAACATCAAGATGAACATGGCGCGGAGCATGGACGAACTGACTAAGAATGTTGACTCCATAGGCAATATCTTGGTGAGCGACCGCCAAATAAAGTAAGCGACCAACCAAACGTCGATATGCGGCATGGTTACATGATTTAATGATTATGAAATGATTGAATGATCATATGGTTGGATGAAGTTACTATAGCGTGATAATTGTATAATAATGTGATGATAATTATGAAATGAGTATATGATGGTATGACGAGAAGGTCATAATACATGTTATGTGTGTGCTAAACAATATTATGTGATGAGCATATGAAATGTAAAATGGTATTCAAAGTATTCAAGTGAAAAGAATGGCAAGAAAGGTTGCTTGTTGAAAATTGTACGAGATGAGATAAATTGACCGATGATGAGCAATACAAGTGAATGTGATATGAAATGGCCGTTGTGGCACACATGTGATATGTTGGGTTATGAATAACTATAAAGCTTACATGGACACCTAAATCAAACCTTATGGTGCCCTGCCATGCACTCATTATAAGTGAATAGAGGTTTTAAGCCTAAGATAAAAGTGTTATACGAGAACTCCATTTAAGGAGTAATGTCAGGTCTGGCTATGAGTTCATGAGATCTGACACTTTATGCCTACGAGACTATGAGTTTATGAGATATGGCACCCTGTGCCCCATGAGTTTACGAGTTCATGAGATATGGCACTCCGTGCCCACGAGTTCACGAGTTTATGAGATTTGGCACTTTGTGCCTACTAGATTACGAGTTCACGAAATCTCGGGGAGTGCATGACTTGGCAAATTAAAGAATAAAAGCTACTTAATCCAGCTAACTATATGTATGTGTGTGATTGGATGCTGATACATGGTTGATTTTGGATGTAGCACGAGTACTTGAATGTCAATCTTAGTATTTGCCATTTTTTATGTGTAGAATGTGAACCCTTACATGTAATATGTAAAGGTTGATGAGTTTTACTTGTCATATCAATTGATATGATGTATATTTTGTGATGATCTCCTATGATGAGTGGTGCAACGATTGATTAAGAAACTATTTTATAAAAAGTAATGATATATATTGATTTACTTATGCTAGTGCCCTGAGATGTTGATGTGTATAGTGTTATGTGTCTACAATACATCCCTTTGTGCGGTGAGTAGGTGTAACTGTGTAAGGATATGATGAAATATTTTGTATGGTGTATAAGAATAAATATGAAGTATCTACAATACATCAGGTAAGGTAAAGTAAAGGTGAAACCCTAAACGAATCATGTATGACATATATGTAAAAGCTCGAAAGAATTACCCATGACATATATGTGAAAGATCAAATGGACGAGGGAATAAATTTCGTATAAAGCTACATAGGTGAGACCTAAGTAAAGTCATTAAGTGATTGAATATGCATCGAGTATGATGGACGGAAGACACTCCGAGTCACAATGTAGCTTAATATATATTTCTTATTAATATTTATATTAGGTTATTATTTACTCATAAAGTGACGTCTCACTCCGTCAATATTTTTCCCGCACAGGCCTAGAATGACATCAGTAAAGAGAAATGGATGAGTAATGTCGGCTGAATGGCTAAGAGGTGGGTGGTGAAACTGAAATCTCCACAAATATTTCAACAAAACTTAAGGAATATGTAAAGTTTTTGCAGGTAAAGGCTATCGACAATACTTGGTGAGGGGAAATATTATGAACGAGACTACAAAATATGATGTTACAATTCCACGCACGGGGAAAGGCTCGATCAATATGGATAGCAGCTTGACCACAATTGAGGGAAAAACTCGTTTAATATAGAGACCACTCGTTTGGTTGGAGTCTGAAACGACCCGATCCTTTTTGAAAACCAAACCACAAACCAATTACTCCGAAGCAACCCAAAACAGGTTTACAAGTCAAAACCAAAAATCAACAACAACAATGTTCAAGAGTCTCAAGAGAAATGCCCTAAACACTTGGGCGTCCTCAATCCAGAGCAACAAAACATAAAACACAATCCTTGAGTTTCCCAGTATACTCATTAAGACATGAAACTAAAGACAGATATATGGGAGGTCCCGTCTCGTTACCCAGATCCAGTTGACCTCTTCAGGTTTGCCGCGGCTGCTCCCCTCGAGCAACCTCCTCTTGATGGATGCGTCCTCTCCCCCTCTCTGCACCTGGTGAGTGAGAAGGGGCCAGTCTCGTAATTAATTCCTAAGGTCTTCGCCCTAAGAGACTCCTTAATAAACACATTATCCAGGTTCTTGACTTAGACACAAGTCGTTCTAGCTTTCATCCTTTATACTTTGTTATCAAACAGTATATAAGATATATCTACTCCTATCTTGTCTTTAGAATTCCTTACTTATATTCTTAATCTATAGACACCAACACTAGGGACCACCGCGTTTCGTCTCGTCGTCCGGTGTCCCCACCCGCGTTACGTCTCGCCGTCCGGTTGCATACCCAAACACCGCAATGGCACTGCGTTACGTCTCGCCATCCAGTCCATGCCCGATCAACTACCGTGTTACGTCTCACCGTCCAGTAGTGAACCCAACATACTCGATCAACTGCTGCGTTACGTCTCGCCGTCCAACAGTGACCCAACCATCTACCGCGTCCAGTATGGCCCAACCGCCTGGGGGTTCATCTTACCATAAATCAACTATCACAATCATACATCCATTCATAGTATAATGCGAGCCTCCACCCTTACAGGCGGTGGGATGCCTCACACACATATCACGCATTACTAAAAAATTAACTAATTAATAACTTGAACGAAAAGCATAAACCAAAAGACCTACGACAGATATTTTACCCCCTTTACACTCACCTCGAAAAGATGACTACTCGATTCGTTCCTCAAAGAAACCCCTCCTTAGGCGCATTATCTTGGGGAAACTTATTAATAAGAATTCATTTTCTTAAACGACCTTTCTCGATTTCAAACCCCTTTTTATTTACCAAAACCAATATTCTCAAAGTCTCATCCTCAAACCTCATCCCCAAGATTCCTTAACCTCCTTTAAAATTTTTATATAAATAATCCCTTCAAAACCGACCATTTTTCCTAATTATTTTTTGTCTTGGACGAATTTTTCACCTAACTTGAACCTTCTTAAAAATTCGGATAATAATTTTCCCATGTCAATCATGAGAACAAATACCATGGAAAATTATCAAACCTCAGAAAATCTCCAGGAAAGTTTTTTATTTAAATAATTTTCCCATGTCAATACATTTTAAAAACTTCCCAAATTAATTGAAAGCCAACTCCTGGACGTCCTTCAATTTATAAAATTGCTGAATCCAGAAAGAAATTACAAGAAGAGGTTCGAAACAATTTAAATATCTTAAAATATGTTTCTGCAAATTCACAGCAGCTTTAGTGACCAATTAAAATCTGTCACTAAAAGCCTGTAACGTTAGTTGCTAAAAACCCAGAATTTCACTCTTACGAAAAATCACCAAATCGATCGATCTAACTCAAAGGGATCGAGTTCCCTTACCTCTAGAATGTGCCTAGGACTAGATTCGATGACTTGGGGCGTTGATCTCCTCGTTGATCGATGTTTCGAATCTTCAAACGTCCCCGTAAAACTATAGTACAAAGATACGAGTATCGGATTAGATCGCGAGGAATGTCATGATCCTTACCACCAAAGCTCCGGGACTTGTCCGGGGACAAGCAAACCACTACTGGTGGGAGCTGAAAGGGCAATGGACAGGCGCTTCTTTCTTTTCTCTCTGCGGCAACTTTGAGGTTACTCTCTCATTGGGGAAACAAGTATTGCAGCGCTGCTAGGGTGGGGAATATTTGGCGTGATTGAGGAAAATTTGTGATGGGGAATAATTGGTGGAGTGGGCCGCTCGGCCCGATCGAGCAATTATATTAATTGATAGTAATAGTATTATTGAGGAATTTTACAATGCTATATAGCATTGGTGCTATAAGTTTTTGCTTTTATGGTACAACTTGAATTTGTACCTTTAATGTTATGGTACAACTTCAGATTGTACCTATACTTTTTGTACAAATTCTTTTTATGGTACAACTTAAACTTGTACCTTATGTGATGGAACAACTTCAAGTTGTAAAATTGTACCATAACATAATGCTACAAATTCCTTTATGGTACAACCTAAACTTATACATTTAATGTTATGGTACAATTTCAAGTTGTACATTAAAGCACCAATGCTATATAGTATAGTAAAAGTGCTCTAGTATTATTATTTACAAACTCATTTAAGGAGATTCCACACGAGAAGGGGGTTAAAACACAATTTGTAGCCTTAAGCGCAACTCACGGCAGGATACATGGGTCTTTTTACATTTTTATTTTGCTTTTACACCTCTTCTTTTCTATTCCACCGAGGGCGAAGCAATTTTATTATTGGGTTTGGCTTTTATCAGATAATCATGTTTCTATTTTTAGTTTAGGGCTCCAGCATTTTATTTTGTCATTAGTCTATTAAATATATCTACTCTATTTTTATAAAAGGGTAAGCATTAATTATTAGACAAACATTTCCTACATTCTTTTTTATTAATCAAATCTATTGAATTACTAATAATTAGTCAAATGTTAACTTTCAGTTAGCAATTTTATTGGTCTAATTGACTTGGCAACGTAATACTAACTTGAAAGAGAAACACGGAGGTCAATATTCCAAAACTTTAGTATTTTAAATAAGAAAAGAGTTACAAATTATTAACGATAAAGTAAAAATGGCTAATATTTTTATGCATTATAAAAGATTTGGCTAATTATTAGTAATTTAATAGGTTTGGTTAATAAAATATAATGCGAGAAAGGCTTAGATAATAATTAGTGTTACCCTTCATAAAAAATAGATCTCTTCTATTAGTGGAAAAAAGGTGACGTCTGGATCAAATAGGTTAACCTTCACCCTAGGTTGGTCGATCGAAACAAACACAAGGTCGACTATTTGATATTCTGTTAAATTTTCATTTACTATAAAAAATACAGGGCCACAAATTTATATTTTTACATGAATGTTTCCTTGAAATGGACGACTTGAGAAGGAATGTGACCGACCATATTTAAACCACACCGATTGATTGTGGAGATAGAAGTATAAAAAATTGGCGGGAAGAGCAAATCTCAGACAATATTCATTACTTGAAAGGA